CGAGGTGGCGGTGGCGCCCCAGCCGTGTCCCCTCCTCCCCGCGCACCCCAACTGCCCGTGCTCAGCCTGTCGCCTCCCCGGGCTCCCGGTGTGACTCTCCGTGTCCCTCAGGCCTTGGATCTGACCCAAGTGTGTGCCGGCCCTTGCAGCGCAGGGTCCGTCCCGAGGGCCATGCCCTGCCCCCTGGGTGACGGGAAGGGAGGCCCGAGAGGGCGTTGGCTTGTCCTAGGTCTCTGGGCCTCTGGGCGGCGTTGCTAACAGGACCCCCAGGCCAAGAGTTCTGCCCATTGTATTACCGTTTTCTTGATAAAAGATTAAGCTCAGTGGCAACCAAGTTTAAGTGAGATAATAAAAACTATGCTCTGCTGCACATTTATCCCACTTTTGAGAGCTCATATTCTGGGTTCCTGTGGATTCTTTGTTTTTTGGCAATGGAAAGAGTGTAAACAAGGTTTGTTTCTCCTTTTATTTAATGACTAGAGGCCCAGTGCATGAAATTAGTGCACTGGTGCAGTCCCTAGGCCTGGCCGGCGATCGAAGTGTGAGTGTCTGGCATGGAAGGGCAGGTCCCAGCTGACCTCTGGGCCCTGGGCAGCACCTGGGCCCCGGGCTCCCGCATGCCCTCCTCTGCCTCAGTCATGGTGCCCGAGTCCTCACGCGGAGTTGTGGTGTACGTGGCCAGACGCTGCGGGCCAGGGCGCAGTGTGGGCCTCTGGGCTGCCCAGCCGTGCCACACGGAAGCCGGTCAGGCAGCGCTCTTTCCTGGCCGGCCTCGCAGACAGGCCCCTGCGGTCCTGGCCTACAGCCTAGCTCACCTGGAAGAGGCTGCGTCGTTGTGGGGCAGGCTCTTTGCAGGCACCTGGCACCTGAGTGCGGGGCTTTCCTGGCACGCCAGCCCTGATGTCCCAGGGAAGGGTAGCAGGGGGAGTGAGGTGAGCTCGGTGGACACCCCGCATTCTCACTGCACCTCCATCCGGTCACCCCCGCCCCCAGGTAGCCAGCGAGAGGTTGCAGCCCCCTCTCCGGGTGCCGCTGGAGGTTGGTCGCCACCACCCACCCCCAGTTCCCTGTCCCAGCCTGGGTCCTGGCGCTGATCGGGCGATCAGGGCCTGCCGGCCACTGGTCACCCTCTGCTCGGCTCCCTCAGCGGCTGGGAGCTGGTTGGCAGCCCCACCCCCCACTACTGGTCGCCATCTGTAGGGTGATTGGTGGGATGATCAGGCCCCGCTTGGCACGGCTTGACCTGCTTACCTACTCCACCATCCTGTGTGGTCCCGCTCTCGTTGGGGCTCATTGGGGCTGCCAGCACCTTCATTGCTGCCTGTTGCCAGCACTGTGTGGCCGATGCCCGCCATGTTTCGCGCCGCCCCCTGGTGGTCAGCTCACATCATAGCAGTCTAACTCTTGGTCGAACTCCTGGTCAAGGGGACATTTTGCATATTAGGCTTTTATTACATAGGATGGACAACTATTTGTAAAAGGAGTCCATGTTTATATTCACCAGTGGAGTACCTGGTCTACTTGCCTCGCATCCTTTTGGAGTTAACAATGCTTAAGAGTTTGTTTCTCCTCGATCACCCTTTTAGGCCCTTATGAGTGTTCACAGGGTGTCATTTTATTGAGTTTCTTTGGTGTTTCTTATGCAGCGGTTCTCAACCTGTGGGCCGCTACCCTTTTGGTGGTTGAACGACCCTTTCACAGGGGTCGCCTAAGACCATCCTGCATATCAGATATATTTACATTACGATTCATAACAGTAGCAACATTACAGTTATGAAGTAGTAACAAAAATAATTTTATGGTTGGGTCACAACATGAGGAACTGTATTTAAAGAGCCAGAAAGTGGAGAACCACTGTACTAGAGGTTCCTGCCTCAGCAACTCAAGTTCCTCATGACTCCATTTATTTGTTTCTTCTCCCTTAGGTCCACGCACTGTTAACAATCTCTACACTTTTCCCGGAGCAGCAGAAAATGCATGAATCCCAGGTGAGTTTTCCCACTTCCTGATGCATTTTAAGAGGTTTATTTAATGACTAGAGGCCCGGTGCACAAAAATTTGTGCACTCGGGGGGGATGTCCTCAGCCTGGCCTGTGCCCATTCGCAGTCCAGGACCCCTTGGGGGATGTCCACCTGTTGACTTAGGCCCACTCCCTGGGGGATCAGGCCTAAGCTTGCAGTCAGACATCCTTCTGGCAGCCAGGGAGCCCTCGGGGGATGTCCGACTAAAGGCTTAGGCCCCCAAGGGATCAGGTCTAAAC